CTGACTCTAAATGAACACTCCAGACTGAAAGTGACCCCTAAGTGCTGTACATTGAACCAATATCACATAGAAAATACAAGATTTAGTACAGCAAAACTTAATTTTGTTAAAGCAAAACAATAAAATTGAGTGTGGAAAATAAATTGCTGATCCCACTCCCTTTTCGTTGATTTTTCTGAAGACGTGGCTTAGATTCTGAAGCCCCAGATCATTTTGGGGAAAAATTGTTATAAGACGTATTAAATCCCCTCCACAGCCAAGTCATGTTTTTGAAGACTTACGTTTCAGTGTGCAAAGTTAGGATGGCAATCCAGTGGTGAGTTGGGAAGAGGTTGACACTGCAGAAGGACATGGTGACACTGAGATGTAGAGGCAATGCTAATGGAAATAACATGGACATAGAATAAGACGATTCATTGCACTGAGAAGGTGGAGAGTTGATGACAATTATGAGAGAAGAGGGTGACACATGGAGAGATATTGAACAGATGGCTCTGCGTTAAAAATGTGATTCGTGTGTGACAAATAGGTGGCACTGGGAACAGATATGGGTAGCTATCTACACATGGGTATAGAAAGTGTAACTCTAGGGTGTGGGGTGAGATTATGACACTTGGAAAACACACTGGCCTCCTAAGTAAGAAATTGTTGGTTCATGTCCTATCTGGGGCCATAAAATCAGTGCTGTGGAATTTGTTGGCACTTTTTTGTGCTCAGTGATTACATTTTTAAGAGTCATAGGTAGTTTGATGCAGGGGCCAGAGAAGGGTTGGCAACCTTCAGCACTCCAGTTGATGTGGTCAACATCTCCCCTAATGCTGTGCTAGCATTATAACTGTAAGAGCATTATGGGAGATGTAGTCCACAATATCTGGAGTGCCGTAGGTTGCCTGCCCTAGGGTCTACCCTGGGTTTAAGGGGTCAAAAAGTTAAAAAGCTGGAGCCTGACAGACAGGAAAAGAAGTTAGAAAATAGTCTTGGGATGAGGTCATTTTCTTTAAATTCAATCCTAATTCCCTAAGTATTTTTGAAACTGTATTTGTGGCCCTGTTCTTGTGATAATGCATTGCTTTCTTAAGCCATTCTGTATCTTTATTGTTAGTTTTTTTATTGTTTATTATGATTTTGGACTTTCAAATTTTCTTTTCTTAAGGAAGATTAACAAATATATTTTAAAGTTCATTTGTGCTTTAAATTACAACAAATAAAATAGAGCAATGCCAGAAGAACCATAGATTAACCTCCTGAAACATTGTCTATTGACACAGTCTGTGTTGAGGCCCCAGCCTTGCATTCAGGGGAAATGCTATGTATTTCCAGGGGGCCCTGTTAGCGCTTTAACAGCTGACCGGGCCCCCTGTGATGAGATTAGACTGAGCTGGGAGGAAATGACTGCCCTGGTCACTTCCTCTCAGCAACCACCGAGAGCCGCGCGGGAGGAGGAAGGAATCAGAGTGGGAACTCTGACTCCCATCAGCCTGAGTCAATGGACCCCAGGGAAGACGCCCTACTGCACCTAAAAGGTAGAAAACAGGAGGGTGACTAAACTATTATGCTTGTGTGTGTGTGTGTATGTGTGTGTGTCTCTGTATGTGTGTGTCTCTGTATGCATATGTGTATGTCTCTGTATGTGTGTGTGTCTCTGTATGTGTGTGTGTAGTGTGTGTCTGTATGTGTGTATGAATGTGTCTCTGTATGTGTGTATGTCTCTGTATTTATGTGTTTGTCTGTGTGTGTGTGTGTATGTGTGTGTCTCTTTATGTGTGTGTGTCTCTGCATGTATGTGTATGTCTCTGTATGTGTGTGTGTGTCTGTATGCATGTGCGAGTGTCTCTGTGTGTCTGTATGTGTTTGTCTCTGCGTGTATGTGTGTATTTGTGTCTGAATTTGTATCTGTTTGTCTGCGTATCTGTATGTCTGCATATCTGTATGTCAGTGCGTGCCCTGTGTATATGTGTGTATGTCACTGTTTGTATCTGTATGAGTGTCATTCTGTGTATTTAAATGTTTGTCCTTAAGTGTTTGTGTATCTGTCTGTATATTTGTCTGTGTATCCGCGTGTGTGTCTGTGCATCTGTATTTGTGTCAGTGTTTGTATCTATAGGAGTGTCATTCTATGTATCTTAAAGTGTGTAATTCTGTGTGTCTGTGTATCTGCATATGTGTCAGTGTGTATATATATGTCTGTGTATCTGTGTGTTAGTTTGTGTGTTTGCTTTTGCGTGTGTGTATGTGTGTCTGTGTATCAGCATGTGTGTCCGTGTATGTATCTGTATGTGTTATATGGTGTGTATCTGCATGTATATCAGTGTGCGTTTGTATGATTGAGACACATTGAGAGGTGTGTGTGTGGGGAGGTGGGGGGGAAGGTAGGTAAGACATATGGGGGGGCCCCAGGACAGTTTTCAGTGGTTTCTAGTTATGCCTTTGCATGGGGGTTATGGTTCTACAACATCTGGGTATCTACCTTTCGGGCACCTCTGGTATACAGAAATAAAGATAAATAAAACAATGTTTGTATTTCTCTTCTTCATTTGCAAAATTTGCCCTGGTTTTGCCTTGTCTGAACCATTTTGTGATGTCATTTGCTAATATTTTAATGTAAATTTAAAAGAAAATGTTATATCTTTTTTTTTTTTTTTATGTTTGCCATAAATAGAAGATGATTTTCAATGTTTTATTTAATGGTGTAAAGTCCAGGGAAATAGCAGTTCCCCTTTAATTTTATAAAATGCTAACTTACGAAGGGAACCATTGCACTTCTAAATGCAAATGGACACACCTGTGTTTGAAGAGCTGATAATGAACTGTCACACATAATTGCTTTTTCATACTGCACACATGTGATTGGCCTTGCAGTGAACATGTCTTAGTTATATAATGGTATAGTGTATTTTACTTTAATGCCACATGACATAAACAAGTATTTGACA